TGCAATCCATGAGCAGATCAAATCGAACAATCGGTAGCCTGTCAAAGAGAACGTCATTAAATGACTAAAATGAGTGAACTCGAATGCTACTTAAATCTCTTTTTTTAAACTGCTGATCGGCCGACAGAGGCTAGTAGCATTTAGAAAATGAATTTACAGTGTTTACGAAAAATAGGTGATAGGATCGGGCTTCCTTAGTCTCCTTTTACGGTGGGTCTCACTTTGTAATTGTGTACAGTGTTAATCGTTCTACTGACCTCTTAAGGTTGGTGCTTGTTCATCATCCAAGTTGTCATTTTCCGAAGGTCATCTCTTTTTCAGCAACTCGTTCTTAATTAATTAACAATCGCTCCAAGTAAGCTTTTATCCAAAAATACTGGTTTGAATGTCTATTATTTGAAAAAGAATATGTTCTAGAGCTCGAAGAAATGGCTCAACCAGCGGTTAGTTAACTACATATATTGGACGATCAGATATGTTTTTGAAGAAAGATGAAATCAGGAGATCTTTAGGGGAACTATCACATCCTCAGAAATCTAAAGATGATTTATACAGCCTCAGAAATGTTTCTCAGTACTCTTATCATAGGAGCTTAGAATGTCATGCTAAGTAGTGAATAACAATGCAAGATCGAACACATAGGCCAATTGATTCAGATTGTATTCATATTTTTTTAAGTTAAAAGCTCCTTACTAGAAAAATGATTGCTGGCGCAGTTGACCTCTAAGGGGATAATACGCAGCAATCCAACCGTCATCAGTAAATGCCCTTAGGGATGCGACATAGTGAAATGATAGATTTTGATGTCACTATCAGCGAAAGATTGATACAGTTTTATTTTTACTGTTCATTTATTTAGGCGGTTTATCCATAATAGGTTATCATGCAAATCCTTCAACTAGTAAAGCTACATCTCTCATGGAAGAGAATGGACCCTGGACCGAAAGGCAAATTAGGGATTAGCGCTCACATTTCGCCCCTTGACTCTAACCTTCTTACAGAGCCTAAAGTGGCAACCTATTTGTTGCGATGTTGTTATGAGCATCCGACTCTAGAATCCGTCGATTTGGCGTACTCATTGAAACTTGTTATTGAGCTAAGAATGTGTTGCCTCATGTATAGTATTTG